TCACTGTTGAAAAAATTTATCTCTGGAAAGTTTTATTTATTCATATTACAAGTGAATGTTTTCTTTTTTTTTTTTTATAATCACAATTTTTTTAATATATTTTATTGATTTTTTACAGAGAGGAAGGGAGAGAGGTAGAGAGTTAGAAACATCGATCAGCTGCCTCTTGCACATCTCCTACTGGGGATGTGCCTGCAACCCAGGTACATGCCCTTGACCGGAATCGAACCTGGGACCTTTCAGTCCGCAGGCCGATGCTCTATTCACTGAGCCAAACCGGTTTCGGCATTAATAATCTATTTGAAAAATTATTTTAGAGGTTAGCACAGTAAATTAAGAAATACAGTGCTTTTCTTATTAAATAAAACACATTGAACTTATTTATTTGGGTGGCAAACTAAGGAATTGAAAATCTTATTCTAGAAATGAATAAAGGATAAGACAATAGTTAATGTGATAGGAAATTTTAGGAGTAGAGAGTGCTATTTCTGAATATGGTTAGGGAAGGACTTCTATGAAGAGGTGGACATTTGAGTTGAGATCAGAATGATGAAAAGGCAGTAACCATAAAAAGATGGAGAGAAGCCTTTCAAGCAAATGTAAAGTTCCTGACTAGGGATAAACTTGATGTGTGTAAGGACCAGAAAATTAGGCCATTGTGACTGGCTCATGAAAACGGAGATCTGAGAAGTAGGCATCCCTAAAAGATATAAGGCTTTGAAGCTCATAATATGGGGTTTGTTTATAGTACGGCTAATATGGTAAGTCATTGAAGAGTTTTAGGACAGGGAGTGACATAACCTGATTTAAGCTTTAGAAAAATTATTCTAGTTGTCTAGAGGATGGAAGGGATAGTGATTGGGAGGCAAGAGTTGAAGACAGGAGAGTCAATCTAAAGTTATTTTAAGTGGTTCACAATCTAGACCAGTGATGGCGAACCTATGACACACGTGTCAGAGGTGACACGTGAACTCGTTTTTTTGGTTGATTTTTCTTTGTTAAATGGCATTTAAATATATAAAATAAATATCAAAAATATACATCTTTGTTTTACTGTGGTTGCAAATGTCAAAAAACTTCTATATGTGACACCGCACCAGAGTTAAGTTAGGGTTTTTCAAAATGCTGACACGCCACGCTCAAAAGGTTCGCCATCACTGATCTAGACTATCAGGTGAATCTATACATAAAAGATGATGGTGGCTTGGACTAGCTTATCATAATGGATATGTGAGAAGTCGTTGAAAATGGGTTTACTTTAGAAGTCTAATCCATAGTGTGAGGGTTAAAAAAGTGTAAGATTCAAAAATTTATTTTAGGTTTCAGACCTGAGCAACTGGGTGGATGGCAGTGTTATTTCCTAAGGTCGGAAAAGGCTCATAGGGAAGCCAATTTGTATCTCATAGGCTGCAATCAATAGCTCTACTTTCACCAGATTAAAATGCCTATTATGCATCTAAATGGAGACATCAAGAAGGCAATTGATTATATTAATCTTGAGCACAGCTAGAGCTTCAGATTGGAGTCATTGATATGTAAATTGCACATAAACTCGTGGAACTGGATGACATCACTGAAAGCATGAGTATAGATGGAACAGAGAGCCTAGGACAGCGCCTTGGAACATTCCAACAGTTAAAAGGCTGATGAAGAAAGGAATCACTTAAGACAAGTGAAAAAGGAAACCCAAATAAGTGTAGTGGTGTAGAACTCTAAAGAAGAAGATGTTTCAAGAAAGAAGTAGTCAAAAACATTGGTCCCTGTTAAAAGGTCAAGTAAGATGATGATAGTGAGTTGACCATTAGCTTGACTAAATTTAGGGCATTGCTGACCTCGGTAAGAGAGATTTCACTAGAATATTGGGTAAGAAAGCCCAATATAATTAGAGTATGTTGAGAAGAGAATGAGAACTGGATGTGACGTGGTAAAGACAGACAACTCTTCTGAGGAATTTTGCTATGAAGCAAAGTAGAAAAGGGAGAAGTGAGGTACAGAGCATGTTTTTGTTTTCTTGTTTTTTTAATGTGTGATTTAAAAAATATGTGTGTGATAAGGAAAGAGACTATAAAATATTTGCCAGTGGAAATTATCTTGGTAAAAAGAGAGAAAAGAATGATGTAGGAAAGAAAAAAGGATAACTTAATAAAAGGGGGTAGTATCAAGAGCACGATTGGAGGAGTTGGTATGAAGAGGGAGGGTAGTTCTTCCATTGTGATGGATAGGAAGGCAGGGTTTGTAGGGACTAAGCCACTGAGATGGTAGAGTTGGTGGTGAAAGACAAGGTGGTTCTTGATTTATATCAATTTTCTATGTTGAAGCAAGGCCATAGACTGAGAGTTGGTAAGGGAATGAGTATTGAAAATTCAAGGGGAGAAGTGTTAAATAGTTAGTTGCCTTCAAAAATGAGAAAGCCAGTTTTATTAGGAAGTTATATTATTATCATCTGTCAACATTGGATGCCCTTTTGAAATTTATGATCATAATTTCAAATGAGTTCATTTGGCATGGCTGGGAGACTTTTCCCCCAATAATTTTCAGCTGCTCTAGAGTACTTACACAAAGTGGAGAGTTGGGGAAAACCTTGTAAGTTAGTACAAGAGAAAAAGAGGCAACTGAAGAGTCTTTCAAGGAAGTGGTAATGGGGCTGCCATGGAACCTAAACTGAGAAAGGAATTGAGGATATGAGAGAGGATGAACACTACAAAAACGGAAAGGTCAATGGATTGAAGGTCTCAATCGGGTTGCAATAGCTTTTATCAAACTGTTTTTCTAAAAGTGCAGAAGGGAAAAAATTAGTTTATAATTTCTTCCTACTTATTTTCCTTTTCATCTTTTAAAAAAATATTAACACTCGAAATTTATTAGGCTCTTATAATATTTCAGGTACTGTTCTAAAGCAAATTACATTTAATGTCTCATCACATTTAATTTTTATAAAAACACTATGAAAAAGCCATTACTATTTCTAATTTGTAGATAAGGAAACTGAGGTACAAAGAGGCTAAGAGATTTATCCAAGATCATATAGTTAATAAGTACCAGTACAAGTATTAAAAACCAGGCAGAGTGATTCTAGAACTTGTACTCTGCATAAAAGATTTCCACTAAACTTTCATATTTTTTCAGTGAGGCACAGACTCAAATGTTGAGTGATTTGTTCAAGATAACAAAACTAGTAAGAAGTAACACTGGTAGTAAAATACAGGTCATTTGACTCTTCCTTTACTCAGTTGCTTTATTTGATATTAGTATATGACACAGCTCCTGTCCTTAAGGAACCAAGGATCTAACTTGAGAGACAAGTATAGATACATACAATTTTAATATGTGACTGAATATGATTAAGTACCAGAGGGAGTACTGCTGACAATATTACTGCCCTTCATGGCGAATACATTAGAGTGAGTTGGAATGGTTAATAAAGGCTTTATGAGGTGTAATGTGAGCTGTTGAACAGCATGACCTGGGAGGATAGTGTGTATAAGCAAAAGAGAGGCTGTAAAAATAGGATGGTATCTTCTGGTGATATTGTTCTGACTGTCATTGAAGGATTTGGGTGAGGGTGGGGGTTGTAGTAATGAGAATAATTGTTTGAATATTTGGAATCTGGTATGACTTTGGGGGAAACTACATGATGTACAAATAAAAGTAACACCATAATGTAAAAGTTGAATGTTTGGCTTCCTTGTATTAAGTGTAAAAGAAAATTCTGGAAGCTAATGTTTACCATTCTCCTTTCTAGTCTCAGCTGTTTCAGTTTGGGGAATGACTGATAGCTCAATCTTGGACCAATGGAAAGCAAGCATTGGGGAGGAATTCCTTGAGAAGTATGTGTCCTTAACCTCAAATTTTCCTTTTACATCTAGAAGTTAAACAGTAAGTCCTCAAGACAACCAAAGAGAGAAGATCCTTTCCTTTATATCCTCACATATCTTCTTCTTTTTTTATTTTTGGTTATTAATCCTCACCGAGGATATTTTTCCATTGATCTTTGAGAGAGGTAAAGACAGAGAGAAACATCGATGTGAGAGAAACACATAGGTTGGTTGCCTCACTCCTGCCCTGACCACTGATAGCTCAATCTTGGACCAATGGAAAGCAAGCATTGGGGAGGAATTCCTTGAGAAGTATGTGTCCTTAACCTCAAATTTTCCTTTTACATCTAGAAGTTAAACAGTAAGTCCTCAAGACAACCAAAGAGAGAAGATCCTTTCCTTTATATCCTCACATATCTTCTTCTTTTTTTATTTTTGGTTATTAATCCTCACCGAGGATATTTTTCCATTGATCTTTGAGAGAGGTAAAGACAGAGAGAAACATCGATGTGAGAGAAACACATAGGTTGGTTGCCTCACTCCTGCCCTGACCAGGGCCTGGGCTGGAGAGGAGCCTGCAACCAAGTCCTTGACCAGAATCGAACCCAGGAACAATGCTCTATCCATGAATCAAACCATCTCAGGCAGATCTTCTCTTATCAGAAGAAAAAGCCTTAATCTGACCACAAAAGTGAGGTTAATAGAAGTGACTTATATCCTCTTTTTATCCTTCCCTCATTTGTCATATATTAACTGTTCTCTATGCATTTGTGTTACAAAGACAGACAGAAATAAAGCAAACATTATTATGCTTTTATTCAATAAGTATGCTTTGTGTAGAAAGTGTATATAGAAAATTCTTTATATTAAGAACAGTCTTTTCTCCTGTAGATGTAAGGCTGTTTTCTAACATACCTTGTCAAAATGTTATTTATTACTAGAGGCCCAGTGCACAAATTCGTGCATGGGTGGGGTCCCTCTGGGTGGCCTGCAGGGATGGGTCCGAAACCTGCAATCCAACACCACCTGCAGCTCCTACCTGCCACTCCTGCTCATCCCAGCCTTACTGTACCGGCTGTGGGCTGGTGCCCAACCTATATTGAGTAACCAGATATAAGATGATCTCTTCACTCTGTGGGTCAGATTGGTAGGGCTGTGCATTTATAAGCAAGAGAGATCAGCTTCACAAAGAAGTAGGAATTGAGCTTGAGCTGGACATTGAAGGAGAAAACTACTTGGAAGCATTTTAGGCAGAGGAGACAGCATGTCTGAAGGCACAGAAGCAGGAATATGATATAAGTACTTAGCAAAAGCAATGATCAGGCTACCTTGGCTCAAACCAAAGATTCATGTGTGAGAGAAATGAGAGGCCCTACAGGAAGGGACACCCCACCATATCTGACCTTCCATTCATTTTGCAGTGCCAATATATAGTCCATGGCAAAGCAGGTTGAACCTATGGCACTACCTAGAATAAGATTTACATTTCTCAACCTCCCTGTAGCCAAACCTAGCCATTTGACCCAAGTTCTTGGCAGTGGGATAGAAGCAAAAGAGGCTTTTGCAATTTCTGGGGCATGTCCTTAAAAGGAAGTGGCATGTTTTTCTCCTTCAGTTTTCTCCTTCCTGATGCTGGAATACAGATGTAATGACTGGTTCCAGCAACCACCTTGGACCATACTGACAAGAATTAAATCTAGGCATGGCAGAGTCGAACAGAAGGGGCCTCAGTCCCTGACCAATGGTAGAATTGCCATGCTAGCCATGAACTTCAAATCTCCAGACGTTTTGTGTGTGTTTAAGCCACTATTGAGTTCAATTTTTGTCTCATGCAGTAAAATTTAATTTTTTAATAGACTATTTTTTATAGTAGGTTTTGGTTCACAGCAAAGTTGAGCAGTAGGTACAGAGAAAATGATTCAGGAGCCACTGCTAATGGAACTTAAGAATAAAATCCTGATCATTAGCACAACCTAGATTTCCTAAATCTTGCTTTTCCTCTGTCTCACCTCTCTTTGTTTCTTGTTTCTATTTTTGTTACTTCTTAATATTGATTGTAAGGCCTCAATTATTTTACTTTTACTAATTAGTTGGCATACTATGTCTTAATATATATGGGCATTTTTTGCCATGCATATCTTGAGAAAGCAATTAGACAAGTACACAAAGATATCCCTTGCATTATAATAGCAAACAACTAAGCAAATTTAAATTTTCAACAGGGAACTGGTTGAATAAATTATGATTTACCAATATAATTGGATCCTGTTCATCCATTCAAAAATGAAGTAAATGTACATTGATTGACATATAAATGTACTCATGCTTTACTGTTTAGCAGAAGAACAGGTTACAGAATACTATGTACATGAATCCACTTTGGTTTAGAAATATTCAACATAGCCCATGGACACAGACAATAGGGTGGTGAAGACCTGGGGGCATGGGTAGGGACTGGGTAGAGAAGGGTAAAAAGCGGGGAATGGGAGACATCTGTAATATTGTCACTAATACTAGTAAATATCCTATCTAATAAAAGAGAAACATGGTAATTAGCCGTACCTCTGCTACCCTTCCCATTGGCTAATCAGGGCGATATGCAAATTAACTGCCAGCCAAAATGGCGGCTGGCAGCCAGGCAGCTTGAAACTAACATGAGGCTTGCTTGCTTCAGTGATGGAGGACTCCAACGTTCCCCGCCTGCCGCTGCTGGCCTCTGAGCTACAACTCTAAAACTATGTAACAAATATAGAAGCTAAACAAAACCCCAGAAGCCTGCTTTAGTCCGCCAG